GCTCTGAAAAAAACATTTTTTTTGACGTTGATATTGTGGTGAAAAACAAATCGAAATGTGGTTTAGCATGGTCTGTACTCTTATTGACAACGAGTACGCGTCATTACTCTTTTTCCAAACATTTTTTCTTATTTTTTCTGCATGTTGAGTGAGTTTGCAAAAGTTTTTGAAAGGAAAGTCTGATGCGTCCATTAAGTAACTCATTTTCATAGTGCAACGCAATCACTTTCGATGTCGATATTTTCAAAAGTCAGCAAATCTTGACAAAGATTTCCTTCGTTATCTTTGATATTGTGGTAAGAAACAAATCGAATGTGGTTTAGCGTGGCCTGTACTCTTATCGACAATGAGTACGCATCATTACAGTGGTCAAAATTTGTTGTGGACTCACTGGGTTGCGCGTTGTGAGTCCACAACATTTTGACCACTGTGATGACGCGTATTTGTTGTCGATAAGAGTACAGACCACACTAAACCACATTCGATTTGTTAGAGACAAGGCATTTTGTAAGTTTGAGTAAACAGCTTGAATTCATACAATAAGCTTTCGCAAGTGGACTGAAAACAAAATTTCAAAGTTGAAATCAAAAAGGTCAATTATCTTTCTAAACTCTTCTCCTGAAGCTATTGTTCATTTGGTTCCAAAGGTATAGCTTACTTCTAAAATAAGACAGAAAATTAAACCTGTGGCTCTCCAGAATTTCATGGCAATAAATGAGTGAATAAGCAATCAAATGGGAGCATTGGCCCATTGGGATTTGTGATTGGCAGGCTGAACCCCGGACCTCAACCTTGTTATATAGGCTTGCACCATGGTTAAAACCACTTTGCATCTAATTGGTGTCAGATTGTGACAGTGCCAATTAATAATAATAATAATAATAATAATATTAATATTAATATTAATATTAATAATAATAATAATAATAATAAGCATTACGTGAGAACGATAATAATAATAATTATTATAATAATAACAATAATAAACATTGAGGGACAAGTTTTGGGGAACTACTTACTACACACATGCACAGTTAAATATAACAAATTAATTTAATTATTATTGGTAGTGTACACAAAGTAGTTACTGGCCCTCTGAGCTAATGACAATGCTTAAGTCAATCCATTTACACACTGCTGTGTTAGTTAAAAATATGTTCACACTACTGTCTGCACCATGTCATTGTGTTAAATTACATGTAGAATAAGCAAAAAGGCCAATCAAAATTCTTTTACTCTACACCTGTCAACTGCTCAATACAGTTTGTGTTCACCTTGTTGAAAAGAAAATGACCTGTTGCGGGAAACCACTTTCTGTGCCTATGTAGGGATGGAAATAATAATATATGTTATACTATACTTTTAGTATACAATATTATACTTTTATTATGCTAACTTGCACAGATCAGGGAGTGAATCGGTCCTTAGTTAATAGAGGGGAATGGTTATGAATCCCGACAAAGGTCTTTGTTGCGTTTTTGTTCGCTGTTTTGGCCTTCTGACCGTACACAAAACACAATAGTTGTTTATTAAGTACTGAGGAACTAATCAATAGAAACGTTTTGGTTGCGTAATTCAGGCATAGTGTATGAGTGCTAAACAAAATTTAGCTAGTTAGTTAGGTAGTTAGTAGATAGTTAATAAATTGCTTGTTAAATGATGAAGCTTTTATATATTCATACATTTTTTTTTCGTGAAAATACATTCTTTATTGATACACATAAACCTATATACAGTACAATGCAATAAACTACAATTTTAACAGTTGCAAAATTAATACATTTCTAAGCTATAGTAAATAAAAATAAAGAGAGATTTAAT